TCTTACTATTTTAATATATTTNAACTCTCACGCGGCATAGTGAATAGTTACAGCTCCCTTATAGATAAGTTTATGTTATCCGCATCTAAGCTCTAATCAGTAATTTGTATAGTCTGTACCTTAGCTATAGAATAAACATTTATTTTATTATTTGTTAAACCTGTCTCCTGTTTATCCGAGGAAACCTGTCGACTTACTTACGCACTCCCCACTCGATTAGCCCTCCTAGCCATCCTACGACTCCGAGATTGGGCTTTACCAGCCTGTGCAGATTAAGTGGTCAGTACGAGATTGACCCCTGACCCACTGCGTATCTCACATATATAATGACATCTTGCTCATTGTAGCGACTGGCAACACCGTCTGTACTGACTTGTAGGGATTCCCCGTATTTTATTTTGTGCTTGGATTGTTTATGACTAATATTCAGCGAGAATAACTTCTATCTTATAAAGAATAATGTTCAATATTGTATAATAACACCTTTAGATTAGATTACAGTATGGATAAGTCCCTTCAGGGAAGTCCGTGAGTGATGCTTTGATAATTCAAAGAAAGTTTCATTGACGGATCGTCAGTCATCCAATTCACATTAACTCAATCGTATATATGTATGTGCTTTCCAAACTGTGATTTTAGTGCTCATAAGTACGTGTAGTGATTGTTAAATTATTGAACTTTGTTGAAAGATTGTATTGTTCGTGTACGTATACATTTGACTATGTGAGTATTAAATATTTTATTTACATTTTTTATTTATGTACAGTCGACCCCCCTATAACACTGTTGATTATTCCGTTCGGGGATCGACTGTAATTGTATGTTTGACTATCTGCTACATTGTTCAAGCTTTAATTTATTAAAATTAAAAAAATGAAAACAAGTAAATTTCAGTAAAGTAAGTTATATTTTTAATAACTTAATCTTGTTGATTGTCAAGGTATAACCATAAGTGTTCTATACATGACTCTTTTATTTGTAACCTGTATAATACACAATAATGATGATTGTTCTTGCCTAAAAGTTCTTTAGAATTACTGTATATTTTAGTCTTTTAAATTGAGATAACTAAATAAGGGGGCAGCGAATTTTCCTCTGCCCCAGGTGGCTGACACCCACACTACGCCACTGGAGCAATTACATAACTCAATCAACTTAGATAAAACCAAACACAAGTTAAGAAAGTTTTCCAACAAAATATTAGCAATAAAACACCTTATTTTTATTACTTTAATGGCACTATTTCAATTGTTTTATCATTTTTCTGTAAATAAATGTGTTTTCTAATGCAAGGTTTTTTCTTTTATTTCAAATAGCAACTACCTATTATTCTATTAGCTATTTGCTAAAAATATACTCATTTTTGATGATAGAGATAACCCATAAGTGGCATCTGGTAACAGATTGTTAACTAAAAGATAATTTGTATTTGTCAGTAAACAAAATTATAAAAAGTTATCAAAAAAATTAGGAAGTGAGATTGCTATAAATTTAATTATTAATGTATTTTTTTTAAATCACAGAAAATCATAATCAAACAATTTTAAATTATTAATTAAATAGTCTATAAGAGTTATCTGATCTTTACATTTATGAAAACATATCATTTTTGATTTTCAATAACTTGAGTAATAACTTAGACTTTCTAATGTTTATATATATATATACAATCCTATTATTAGTGTCAAATATCTGCTAACCTAGTCACACTCCATTTACTGAAAGATTAGTAACAAATGTAAAACTTTAGTTTCTGTTATAATTTCTATTCTCAAATAGTAAATGTCAATTTATATGGTAATTATTCTAAAATTTATTTATTTATTCTTAAAATGACCAGTTCAGCTTTATCTTTCAAATGACCTCTCTCTCTTCTCATATACTTAACACCTGTTTCATTCTAAAGATTTTCAATTAAATGAAGATCTAAATTCTGGTTGTCTAATATATCTTTTAGACATTAGTGTTATAATGAATCAATATAACATGATTAAGTTTAGTATGACAGTAAATTATACTGTCAAGACCATGGTCATACAGACCATTTCAAATTTTATTGGACATTACAAATTTTAGAAATTTGTTGGTGTAATTTAAAAAATTATTATTAATGCTCATTTCACCATTAATGTAACATGGTGTTAAAATAATAAAAGGCTATTTACATAAATAACATTAAATTTTTCTTTTACAACAAAATTACTATGCTGCATATTTTATTGGAAACATGACTTTCAACTGTAGCAACAGAATAGAATAGTCTAAATTATGTAAAAGTATGAAAACTAGTAGGAAAAACCATTTCTGAACTCTGTGGAAACCCATAAAAAGCATTGCCCATGGGCAATGCTTTTTATGGGTTTCCACAGCAGTTTTATGGGTTTCCACTTGGTTCTATATGAATATCCAAATGATTTTCAGTTTGTTTATGGTGTGTCATCTGCTTGCTCTACAGTTTTGTTGATGGAGAAAAACTCATTTGAAACAGAAAAATGTTGTATCATCAGTAAGAAAAAGAAAACTGAGAGAATGTCTACATTCACTGAATTGAAAAGAGTACAGTTTACTTGGCTCCAGCTTATATGGGCCTCAAATATTCCAGTTGAAAACATTCTTCATAAATAGGTGACAATGATTGCACTACAGTTGAATATCCAATAACTGGATAATGAGGTTTAAGGGCCAGTATGGCCTTATATATAAAATATTAGCTGGAGAAAGTGTGGTAGTGGATAGCAAATGCATAGAAATGTGGCTAAAAAGACAGCCAATTTTGTTGGAGATATGAACCACATGATATCTACAGCATGAATGCTCTTCTACATATTGCATGCTGATAGAATCTTGTCATAATGGGAAAACTCTAAAGATAGATTTCTGTTTTACTACTACATGCTGACAATGATGGAGGTGACAAACAAGTGCTGATTTTTATGGAAAATCTCCAAAATTACCAATATTTCAAAACAAAAAATTACCTGCCAAATACCATACAAACAATCAAGCATTGGATAACCATAAACATTATTTCTGTATTCATTAGATGCAAGTGTGTGTTCAAAACAGGAAGATTTCCCTTTTTTGTGGGCAATTACATAACACATCAAAAATTGCATTATTTCTAAAAAATGTAAAAATCATATGGTACCTGGAAAATGGCACAAGTGTGTTCCATCCTCTTGATTTAGCAATAATCACTATTACTGCTTTTGCTTCTATTACTGTTTTGAGAAATTGTATAGAAAATATCTCATGCATGCAGCTGTTTGCTTAATGCAGAGGTTTCAAACCTTTCTCATGTATCAACCCCTTTTAAGAAAAATATTTTTTCCATCGGTCCTTGTGTTTTTTATTTTTTAATACATCTTTTTATACTTGGAAAGTTTTGAAAACAATAATAGAAATATTTTCAAGAATTTTTAAAAGATTGTACTTACTAAATAATTAAACAATATTTAAATATTATATTGTATATGCATATACAATATATATATATATATATATATATACACACAATTTGCTCATCAACCTCTTTTCAAACTTTCATCACTCCACAGGGGTTGACACTGACTCCACTGGGAAACCCTGTCTTAATGGATGCAGGCAAAGATACAGAAAGGTTGATAAAAGCAATGCATTATCACTTCTGATAGCCAGCAGCAAGTAAACCAACAAACAATTGAAAACTGTTTTTGGAAAATTGGTTACATTCAGGGACAATCTTCAGATAATAGTGATGTCATATTGACTAAAGATGAATGTTGGCACTGCCATGAAAAAAATTCATTGGCAAGAACAAAGATAAATTTCAGGACTAAGTCTCAACAGTCACTTGACAAAGAGTATAAAAACAGAAGTATAAAGAGGTATAAAAACAATGGAAGAGCTGTGTGAGAGTCCCTCTGGCATCTGGAAAAGTAAAGGAAAAGAAAAAAAAAATGACGAGGGCAAGCTCAAAGTTCTGCTGAACTTAAGCCAAGATGTATAAAGTGCTGATGAAAGTAAAATCTTTTATTCGTGCACTTAGCATGAGTGAAAATGATTGTGAAAGCATTCTAAGCCTTATAAAGTTGTACGTTAAACTGAGGCATAAAGTTTGTAAAAAGAAAAAAAAACAAATACTAGTCAAAGATTTTTTCAACAAAACTTAGTCTTTTAAATATACTGTAATGTTATACCATATACCATATTTCAAATAATGCAAATCATTAATTAAATTGTTCTTATCTACTTTTTAATGATTTCCCTGGAACCACTGTTTTCCCCCCTCTATTTTTTTGTTATTTTCTATTCCCCTAAAAATATGCTTTACAGTTTTACTTTATATATATATACATACATACATACACATGCGTGTGCGCGCAGTGAAACTTGTCCAAAACCGAATCTGGATAAAATAGAAACTTGCCTAAATGGGAAAACATTTAGTCAGGTTTCTATTCTTAAAGCAGAGCAATTTTCTACGTTAAGAAAAAAACCTGTTTATAATGGAAAACTGCCCAACTGGAGAAATTATTTGGTACCATGAACTTTCATGTATATATCGTGTGTGTGTGTAAATTTTATTTAATAATTGGTTTATTTTCTTATGTTATAAAAATTATAAATGGATCTATTCTGATTGAGGAGTGAAAGAATATTTTTATATCAGTTAGCAAGTAAGATAAACAGACTAAGGTTTCCTTCATATATTTTTTTTGCTTCTTTCTTTATCAAAATTAAATCATGAAATAATTTTATCACTATCCTAAATATTTCTAAATAAATTTTTTCTACTTAAGTATATAAAAATAAAAATGAAACAATAGATCTTATAACCTTAAATAATTGATATTTCAATTAAAATTATAAATAACTGAGTAAATGTCATATTATTAACTCAAATTATTAACTATCAAGAATATGCTCAAAATTCTAAATGACAAGAAAATTTAGTTTATTAACTAATTGGATATTTTCAAATCAGTTTCTTTAATTGTAAAAATAAATTCTTTTTTTTTTTCAATAAATTCATCTAAAAATTCTCTTTTTTTTAATCTAATAAAACATCTACAAAAAAATGTGCTTGAATGTAGTCTACAAAGGCAGTTGCAGTTTTGATTATAACTTAGTAGAAATAGATTATGTAGATATAAAATAGATATTAAAATATTTAAATGATTAACATCTGCAAAATATGAAAGAAACATACTTATCAGAGGTTTTATATAAATTATGTTCATGAATGTATTTGATTATATCATCTTGTATCAAATACTTTACACTTTCTCCTCTCCTGATAGCTCTTCTGTAAAAACAAGTTTATGATAAATTACAAAGAAAAAAATTAGTAAACTTTGTCACAATTAATAGTTACCTGATACGTGTTGAACTTATTTCATTCGTTATCCACTCAGTTACAATATGGATATTTCTCTATTTTAAACAAAATTAGTCAATCCTTACATTATAAAACTAAACATAACATTAAGACAATATTATAAATTTGTTACTAATTTAAAATAGACCATTTTTATATATTAAAAAAATTTTTGTCATAATAAAATGCTAGGCAAAATAAAAACCTGAATTTTTTAACAGTAAAAAAGATCAAATTAAATGAATTAAATAAAGTTTTAAACATTACAAATAGCATTGACCAATGAATATAAAAAATAAAACATTTTTATGTATGTACATTCATTTACTAAACATACACATTATTCAAGACAGAGCCAAAAGTAAACTAAACTTTTGAATTTTTATATTACATGCAATTGGGAGAGTTGGAAATGCTAGTTGTATGTCAGGTACTGTACATTCAATTTAGTCTGAACTTACAGTAACTATGTAAGTTCAGACTAAATTGAAGCATAAAATATTTAAAATAAAAAATAAAAATTTTGCCTTTACAGACTTGGCTCACACTTCAATAAAACATGTAAATACTTTATTGTATACTTAAAATATGATATATGAAATAATACAGTAGAGCATCGATTATCCGAATCAATTGGGGATTGGGGTTGTTCGGAAGATCGATGTTTTGGATAACCGATTATGTACGAAAAAATATATCAATTTATCCCATCTTGACATTTTTCTCCATTGCGTGTCACTTCGTGTTGAATTTTTGTCGATGTTAAGCCTAACAAAGACTATTGTATTGTTAAAAATTATTTTTTTATTTTATACAAACAAAATAAATATATTGAAAAATATAAAAACAATAAAAAATTATACTTCAGAAGTTAGTTTAGTATCAAAAACGTAAAATATTTGAGTAGCCCAAGACATAGCCAAATATTGCAGTGCCATAGCACTGGCGAAAATTTAAATTTGCCGACTGGAATTCTTTCGGATGATTGACGTTTCGGATGATTGACTTTCGGATAATCAACGCTCTACTGTATATCAGTATAATTAAAACTTCTAAGTTTAGAACATAAATTGTTGGCTAAGATGACATCATCAACTTGACTTTCAAAATCCTTTGAAAATCATCTGTGAAACTTTGTTTCTCTAATGATTAAGTTGAACTTTGTAAATCTGTTTTAAAATGTCTCAAAAATGTAAATGTTTAACATTCAAGGAAAAATTCAGTGCAATAAAATTAAATAAAAAAAAAATAAAGTGTACATAATTTCTCAGCTAAAATGAATATTGGGGAAACTGAAGCAAGTAAAAAATCTTGAACAATTAAGACATTAAAAGGACATCACTTAAAACTAAAAGAACTAAAAACAGATACCACAAAATATAATTAAAAACACACACAACAATTTTAATTATTTTTCATCTTAGTTATATATAAATATCTAAGATTTAACTTTTATAAACTTTTACAATATGATGAAAATTATAAGTTCATTATCTTATTTCTATCTCAATAGTGGGTATTTCTCAAAAACAGACATTTTACAATTTCCCCACAAGCATCCATTCTTAAAAAGTTTCACTGCATTTATATTAGATATACTGTAAATTTAAGTATTGTTAAATTTTGTGACTTACTTATACTATATTAAGTAATATATGAGATTTATTGGGCTGAAATTTTCAAATTGCAGACCTATAAATTCTCACTGTTGTCCATTTGTCCTTCATTAATCTCAATAATGGAATTAGATAGATGAAAATCAAGACCAGATATGGAAAACTTGGTGATTGGCAGCCCCAATTAACTGAATTTTTACATTATTACATAGAGTGATAAATTTGTTATAGAGCATGGAATATATTAACCCTTATGATAATTTAAATTAAATTATGATTAAAACTTGCAGCCCAGCTTTGTCACAATAAGTGACAATGCCAGGCATGATTTTTTCGTTTTAATTTAAGACAAGTCATGATTTTTTCATTTTAATTTAAAGTTACATGAGGATATCATCACAACTCTAGAATTTAGATATATTTTTTCTGAATATAAAAATCTCTCAAATTTTATAATTTGTCTATTAAGAACTTATACTAGATTAACTGAGATAAAAATAATTTACTTGATATTTAGAAAGAATATCAGATTCGTAAATAAATCGATGAGGATTGGTTCCTTCTCTGGTTATAATTACAAGACCGTACTTTTCAACAATTTCAGCAACCTGTTTAAAAAGTATCATTACAAAATTCTTGTTAAGCAAATTTAATAATGTAATTCTTTAAAATTATAGTGAAAACTACTAACAAAGATAAATAAAAACAATTACATTTAAGAAAATTATATATGTTAAATACTGTTAAATTTCTTAACATAAAATAGAATATATACAACTTGACAATATAATATTTAGAATATCAAAACACACAAAATTAAAAACAAAATTCAATATCAAATGTTATATATTAAACAAAAATAATTAAATTTAATTACTACTCACATCACTTTCTTTCCAAACATTGGAATTCCCAAAGGATTCAAGTAAGTCTGCTCCACAAAGTAATTTCACTTGAATAGGATTGTTATCATTACAAAAACAGTTATTTAGAGTTAATCCATTAACTGAAAAATTAATTATTAGCAACTAATCAATAAGTTATTTTTTAAAGTAAAATCAAATAGCTAAAATAATTCAATATAACCTAATAATTACCATTTTAATTACATTACATGACAATTATAAATTTTGAAATTATTTTTAACTATTAAAAAGGAAACATTATAAAGATAAAATTTTAATATAAATTTGTTTTTATTTATATAAAATTTAATTATATTTTATGAATAAGAATAAGAACAATTTGACAAACTGCCAGTAATATAAACATTACTGCAAATCAAATTCTGCTTTAAATGGACAATTGAAAGAGTGCTTCATTGATCTTCTCATCTAAAATATTCAAAAAGTAAAGCCAAACCCTGTCTGAAAAATCACCTAAAGATAGCAAGAAACAAATGAGAAAAAGATAAAGATGAGTTGGACAATTGAGTGATGAGAAATCGTTTTCAGTGATGAAAAAAACATTAAATTTAGATTACCCAAGATGGTATCAACACTATTGGATAATCATCAGAAAAGATGAGCAAGTTTATTCTAAGCATACCCAAGGGTCAGTAATGATTTGTGCAGCATTTTGGGTGGAAAAGAAAATCTGAAATTGGCTTTCTAAAACAGCATATCAGAAAATGCTAAGAGAACATCCACTTCCTATTAAAACATCCACTAGAAAAAAAATCATAGAAACAAATTGGAAATTTCAACATAATGCTCCCATACACACTGCTGTAGATATTAAACAATGGTTTGCATCAAAAATGACATTAGTGTAATTGATTGGCCATCACTTTTTCCTGACCTGAACCCTATTGAAAATGTATGTGACACCTTGGTTAGGAGAGTACCAAAATGGAAGTTAGTTTCAAACAGTTGGAGAGTTGAAATTAGCCATAACAAGAGAATGTCAGAAAAATCAGTGTTTAAGAACTGCAACATTTAATTATTTGTATTTAATGCCAAAGTGTATATTTGCAATTATTTCCAAACATAGAAATGGATCAGTGTATAAATATGTTTTTGTTTCCAATTCAGTGAATAAATAGGTGGCAGCATATAATTTTGCACCACTGTGAAAACTATTTTTGTGTAATTTGTTTGGATTAATCAATTAGGATGGTGTTATTAAAAGATAATAGTAAAAAATTATGTAAAATTTTGTCCATCTACTCTAAATAATTAAAAATATATATATATTTTTTTAAAATTACACTAATTTTGCACTGCACTTCCCTCCAACATAATATAATTTGTATAAAATAATAATCAAGATGTTCTTAAAATTATTTATAAAGAAAGATGAAAAAAGTACCAGTAAGTCATTATTTAAATTTATAATAAAATGTAAACATTACAAAATACTTCAGATGCCTTTGATATACAAGTATTACTTGTATTTCAACATTAAAATTGTAACACATACTTGATATGTTCAAACTAACAATTATCAAGTACTATATTTAATATTACGTCTCTTTCTGTAATAAAACAATAGCTGTTGATTATAATATACACTCCTCAAAAGCGAAATTGTAGCACCACAAAGGAATGTGCATAGCCACATGCATACTGCAGGACTGTTAGAGGTGATAGATATATGCAAATGATTAAAACAACAAAGATTTACAACAGACATCTGTTTATTCAGTAATAAATATGGCTCCCCACAGGCCACTATACAGTGAGGCATGCAATCAATGAAATGATTAACCTGTCCCATGTTGAAATTTTTCTCTGTTGCATGACACATTGAATTTTTGTCGATGTTAAGTCTAACAAAAATTGTGTCTTTTTGAAAAAATAATCGTGGCTATTGTATCATCTGAAATTATTTTCTATTTTCTAAATTATTAATAAATGTAAAAACAAAAAAATTATATTTCAGTAGTTAGTTTTAATATAAAAATTATAATAACTAATGACATTTAGTTTCAAAAACATTCCAATGCTGAAACGAGATATCTCGGGTCCCCAGGTCAAGGTCATTAGGTCACAACCCAAGATATGTCAGGAATACCAGGGAATAGGTCAATGGTTGCCTGAGATATTCCTTGCCAAGTTGCATCCACAATGGCATGCATGTCGTCTACAGTTTGTGGCAGTAGTCCCCAGTGCACTTCACATTGGACAAGGTCCCACAAGTGTTCAGTGGGAAAGAGATCAGGTGAGGCCTGCTGGCTAGGAAAAATTGTGAATTCAATTCAGGCTGGTGAGAGTTTGCCATTCAACATGTGGTTCAGCATTGTCTTGCTGGAACATCATGTCAGGTATGGCCTGCACTAGTGGCCAAACCACAGGTCCTCACAATTCATGTGATTTACTGGTCCACTATCCGAGTACCAGAAATGTGCACCAGGATTGTCCACTTATCAAATACAATGCCTTCTCAAACTGTACTGTAAGTCACAGCAAGGGGCCAGTATGATGCTCAGCAAAAAGGGCTGGCATGTAGCATTTCCCAGGATTTCACCATATATGTTCATGGCCATCATTCCTCCAGACAGGACCGGGGTTCATCCATAAATAATACTCAATGCCTTTCAGTAGTCTAGTTGTGATGATGACATCACACCAGACTTGCAGTCCTGTGTTGAGAAGTTAATGGCACACCAGTTGCTTGTTACTGTGCATGCAATTAGACTTCATGCAACCTGTTGCAAATGGTTTGGGTGGACACAGATGCACCCATTTACAGCGACAGGCAGCTTTCAAATGTTACATGCCACAGCACGACATCTGGAGCTGACAAACTTGGTTGGCCAAATCTGCTGGTCTGTGCACTCTGTCATGCACCAGTGTGATCATCTTCCTCTTTGGTGTGTTTGCAGATGTTCCTGCATCCTCATGTCACACATCTCTAGATAGTACTCACATTGTGCCCAAACACATGTGGCAGCTGCACACATCAGTGCAGCTCCAGGAAATGGTTTTGTTCCCCAGCCATTAACTGGTGGTATTCGTCTCACTGTTGTCTCCAAGGTATTTTCTATACTTCTTCAAAAGTTCAGATGATAAAAACCATTGCTGATAGCATTTGTTGCCTGAGCCAGTTGCTGGTCTTTAGAGCCCAAAACTAGGTACCACATAACCTGTTTCACACACAAATTTAATCATTTGTATATCACTGTCACCTCTGCCAGTCCTGCAATTTGCATGTAGTTATGTACAGTACATTCCTTTTTGATGTTGCAATTTCACTTTAGAGGAGCCATTTAATGTGATGAATTTAATTTGAGGAACAGTATTTCAGTTAAAAACTTATAACTCCAAAATTAATTTAGAGTAAAATTTTTAAAAAATAACTGTTTATTATAGAAATACTTGGTTTTATTTTTGGATAAAGAAATCAACAAAGTTAACAGAGAAAATTTGAGGATATTCATATTTTTTGTGATAAAATTTTCCTTCATTTGACAACAAGCTTTAAAATTTTTTGTTGTTTAGTAATACAGATACTCCCCTACTTATGCAGTGTGCATTTATAATATAATGACAACATCCAGATGGGGGAAGGTGTCAGGAGGGTGTTGATGAATGCTGACACAGAGAAGAGAGATCAACGGAATGTTTGCACATACAAAATATTTACAAAATAATTCATTTATTTTGTAATATTATGTTGTTAATTGACATTTATTACACATATGATTGTTCAATTGGAGATGGGGAGGCCATGATGGGTGGGAGTAAAAAATGAAGCAAATGAGGAGGCCATGAGGGGTGGGAAGCATGGGGAGGCCATGAGGGGTGGGAGTAAAAAATGAAGCAAAATCTGTTGTCACAATATGTGATTGCCATGTTATGATTATCCACATCCAATAAATGAAAACCTCACTTCTCTAAAGGTGCAGCCGATGACACTATTTTTGCTAAACCTAAAAGAATAATCAAGTCTTAAAATTAAGTAAATAATATCAGAACCTAAAGGTTGTTTTTTAATATTCTAATATTAATTCAATTTTCTCAAAGAGGCCAAAACTTCTGGAACAGGTTAGGTTCCAGTGGTTTTATCATAAGTCTAGAATTAACTTAGAAAGTACATTTGTACATAGAATAACCAGTTATTGTTAGTGTTTGATCCTTTAATGCACATAATAGAATATGTTATACTCATTTACCTGTGTGCTAACTGCTTAGTAGTGGGTGTTTCAAACATTTTTTCACTTACTACACTTATTTTCGTAATGTCCAGTTTAATTGCTATAGTAATTGAGCAACACTTCTTGCAATTCAAATAGCAACTACCTATTATTCTATTAGTTACTTATTAATTATTAATATACTCATTTTTGATGCTAAAGATAACCCATAAGTGGCATCTGATAACAGATTGTCAACTAAAAGATAATTTGTATTTGTCATTTATATCCACTACTAGATTTACTATTATTTTTTGGTGCATTTTTGAAAAGCAGAAATCCTCAAAAATGAGCCAGGAGTCATATATTAATCCTAAAAGTTTATAAAAATTTATGATTAATTAGTGAAAAATGCTGTTACTCTAACATGACTGACTTCAATGCCACCTCACAAACAGCAATGGAACCTCAGAATTCATGTAAAATGAAAAATGACAATATATATTAGAAACAAGTCCATATTAATTATTTATTAAAAATTTATTATTTATTGCTGGCCAAAACCTGACTTCAATGTTACTCCATGAACAACAAGAAAACTTCACAATTAAATGTTAACATTAAACATTTTATATCTATTTTCCTTTAAGTTACGATTTTTCTTACCATTTGCATTATCCAAATCTAATCTCTGTCTTTTTCTGAAATTGATAGTATTATCATTAGCATCTCTAGAATTTAATTTCTCCTGATGATGTGCCAAAACTTTTACAGTTTCAACCCAGCTATCTTGTTCACTTTCCCAAGTGTCCAATCTGTTTTCATTAAAAATATAAATCAGATACATCTATAAAATTAAACTTTTAATTATTTAATTAATGATTAGTACAGATTAGATTTTATACTTAGTACACTTACTTGATCCAATCACTTGACTTAAGAGCTAAATTTATCATTGCACATCTATGTTTAGATTCAACCAATCCAGCTTTCTTATAACCATCATTTACAGGTGAAATAATTCCTCCAACTACTTTGAATCTACCAGTGCTATGCAGAAAATCTCTGGCTAATTCTATTAAAAGAATTTAAAAATTATTTCATTAGAGAATGAATCAAAATTAAGTAAGTTTAATGTACTGTTTTTGTTTAAATTACAGTCATCCATTAATTTCTTTGGTATTACATTCCAAGAAAATTTACATACTTGTAAATTTTCTTGGAACGTATTTGATTCTTTTAATAATTATCCATATTTTACAAAAACCATTATAAAAAAACCAGTTAAAAAAGAAAAAAATTTGATAATACAGTAGCTTTTCATTATGTCACTCATTCAGATACAAAGTGACCATCGTATCAACAGTCTCAGCAACTGTGGTTTCAGTTATCTGCAATTCACAAAGCCACATAGGTGCTACTTGTAAACTTGTCAAAACTTGCTTTGATTACAAGATTTGAGCATTTGTGTATAATTTTAAACTTAATTTTGCTTGATTCATTGAATCAAATAGTGGTTTTTTTCATAAGACAATTAATTCATAACCTAAAACCAGCAATGAAAGTTTTACACCAACCATCTCCCCCGAAGAGTTTTACACTGTAACCATGTGCTCCAGCAAGCAGCTCTATATTTCAACCTGTTTGTTCCAACATGTATGGCTCTATTTTCAAACATTAGCCTGATGATGTACATTCAAGATGAAAGACCATATTTGCTGTTTTAAATTGACTGTTCTTATTGCTGGTTTTAGATTATTGAGTTAGTTGTCTTGTGAAATTAACCAGTATCTCATAGATGTCTGTGGGTTTTTCATTCAACTGAATTTAAAATTTTTATTCAAGTAAGTTTTTAAATAACTTCTAAAATGGGTTTTAAGCCTAAGAGAAAATGTGAAGTACTAATCACAAGTGAGAAAGTCAAATTTCTCAATATAGTTGAAACAGAAAAAAAATTGTGGAGATTGCCAAGCTGTATGGAAAAAATTAATCTTCAATACATGAAGTAATGAAGAACAAAAACTTTGTACCAGTTTTTCTGTTGCACCCAATCTGCAAAAGTTTCTAGTACACTGCATAAAGTGTTATAATGGAAAAAGCATTTAATCTGTGGGTAGAAGATATGGTTAAAAAAAAAGAGTGCCTATTGACAGCAACATGTTATGGCAAAAGGCAGTGGCGTGCCATCATTAGAAGCAGTGGATGTGCCGCTTCCCTTGTATTTTCTAAAAAATAAATACATATTAATTTTAATTATATGAAAATAATTGCACAATATTTTATTATAACCACATTATGTATCTTATTACAAATTTCTATACTACACGTGAAAAAAAAATAGATTGCTATTGTATATTCAAATATTAGTGGCAAAGTGGAAGCGCTGTATTGCCAGCATCCAAAAAGCCAGATTCACACATGCGCTTTACAGAGCACCAACCTCACCCGGTTTAGCTGGTGGAAGCCTAGGACCTTGGGTGGATGCTACACATATACTGCATCCAATTTTATCCAGGACCGGTTCCGGGCTGTTGGCCGCCCTCCCCGATTACGGGTAGATTTATAACTTAACCCAACCGATAAGAATTTACTGGTATGTTTTTACGATAGTTCTGTATAGTTGACAGGAGTTTAAAAAAATCCATTAAATATTTGATATATTTATTCTGCTCTCCCATCTTATATTATTTACGGATTTCAAAGTTAAACCAGTGATATTACGATTTCGTATATCCCATCTTTAAGGGGACGTAGAAAAAACGTATACAATTCTTGTACAATGTTAAAAAATTAACTGTTACTTTGTTCGCATTATTTATAACTAAATTTAATGAATGAGAGAAATGAACGAGGTACAGAATAAGCTCTAGAATTTATTTTACTTAAATTTACGATTTATGTATCCGTTTGTCATAAAAATTTGTCTTTCCACTTTTTTCTCAAGACTACAAATATTCGAGTGTAAAGTAACCGGTTTCGAGTTATTTCTACTTACGAAGTAGTTAAATAATTAAGCGATTAGGGAATTGGGGACATAAACAGAACTCTGATGAAAGAGCCGAAATTTTACTTAAACAAAAGCCTAACCGAACCAATCTATAGCCGAGTACAGTGGAACTGATTTCTTCGAAATATTAGATGTAATAAAGACAGACATTTTTCCAGTTCAACGAGAGTGACCGAAAAGTTGTAAAGTTTGGAAATTTCCGTGGACAACAGCTGGTCCTAAAACGAATTAGTTAGAAAACAAA